CTATTACACGTATTGCAGATCGTTTTGCTCTGTTTGTAATTTTCTTAGATTTGTGGGAGGGTTTTTTTTTGTGTGTGTGTGTGTGTGTGCGCGTGTTTTCTTTTGTTTGTTTTTGCCTTCCAGGTCTTTTCCTTTGAAGTTTTTCTGTTTATTTTTTAGAAGAGTCTTCTTGATTCTAAGATTTAAAAACTAAATTTACTGATTTCCCCCATTAGTTTTGATTTGTAGTAGAAGCTTAAGATAATGGGACAAGACGTAAACCTTGCGCTGTATAGATAGATCATATATTCATTGACAGCAGTATTTTTATTTTGTTACTCCTACTGCTTTCTTTTTCCTTTTCCAAATCTCACTTATTCCCCCATTGTTGTTTTTGTTGCTCCTTTTATTGTTCTCTTTTTCACTTTCACTTACCTTTCTTGTAGCATAGGCCTTGTAAAGGTACTGCTTAATTGACATTAAAAGAAGTTTCCAGTATCCATTGTAGAGAACTTTGGGGGGCAGGACTACAGTGGTCACTAAATGTAGCAGCCATAACTATCCTTGACTTCTTGCATCCCAAAGTAATGCTTCATAGATTCCTGATGCTCCATGTCATAATCACTGCTTTTTAATACTTTGTTTTAGGAACTGCAGCCATGAATGAAGAAAATATAGATGGAACAAATGGATGCAGTAAAGTTCGAACTGGTACGCAGAATGAAGCAGCATTACTTGCTCTGATGGAAAAGACTGGTTACAACATGGTTCAAGAAAATGGGCAAAGGAAATTTGGTGGTCCTCCTCCAGGTGTGGATTTGTTTACGTTAAAAAAAGTCGAAGCTTTAGGGTAGTCATTTTCATTATGTATCTATCTTTACAAGTATCCCAAACAGTAGCTCTATTTTTTGTAACTGCTTTTAGACTTTAGCAATAATTTTTTGTTACTCCTCACCCGAGGATATTTTTCCAATGATTTTTTAGAGAGAGTGGAAGGGAGGGGAAGAGACACACAGAGAGAAACGACGATTGGTTGACTCCTGCATGTGCCCTGACCAGGGCTGGGGATAGAGCCTGCAATCAAGGTATGCACCCTTCACCCTTCAGTCCATGGGCTGTTGCTCTATTCATTGAGCCAAACTGGCTAGGGCAGCAATAATTTTTAATGTTAGGGAAAAGGTATATTTTATAATGTTAGGCATGTTTTACCATTACAGTTTTCAATTCTTTTGGATTAAGAAGCAGTTGGGCCCTAACCGGTTTGGCTCAGTGGATAGAGCGTCAGCCTGCGGACCCAGGTTCGATTCCAGTCAAGGGCATGTACCTTGGTTTCAGGCACATCCCCAGTGGGGAGTGTGCAGGAGGCAGCTGATCGATGTTTCTCTCTCATTGATGTTTCTAACTCTCTATCCCTGTCCCTTCCTCTCTGAAAAAATTCAATAATATATATATAAAAAGAAGCAGTTGAGAAAGAATAGGTTGGTTTAGAAAGAAGTCAGGATTGAGTCAGTGCAGAAAAGGATACTCTAGAAATTAAAAGGGAGGTCTTTGGGAGGAATTTGAAAGACCAGTGAGTAGAGGGAGGAGTGGTGTCTACACTAGATGCAAATCAGATGCAAACATAATCCTCCTATATAATAAAAGGCTAATATGCAAATCGACTGAACAGTGGAATGACCGGTTGCTATAATGCACACTGACCACCAGGGGGCAGATACTCAACGCATGAGCTGCCCCCCTGGTGGTCAGTGCACTCCCACAGGGCGAGTGCCGCTCAGCCAGAGCTGGGTTTATGGCTGGTGAGTGCAGTGTCGGTGGTGGGAACCTCTCCCGGCCTCCCCAGCAGCGCTAAGGATATCTGACTGTGGGGAGCGGGCCTAAGCTGTCAGTCAAACATCCCCCGAGGGCTCACGGACTGCAAGAGGATGCAGGCTGGGCTGATAGACCCCTCCTCCCCCCAGTGAACAAATTTTGTGCACTGAGCCTCTAGTTAGATATAATGTTTTGTTTTTCTACTAATAGCCAATGCATTTTCTTTGCTCAAAACCCTCCAATTAACTTCCTATCAGACGTAATATGAAATCTTGGCCTCTAGTTACATTGATGACCACATTACTTACCACTTTACTCCTCCCTCAAGTACATGTTAGCCATATAGCTTGTGTGTTCTGAGTTCTAATATACAAAGCACTTGCTTTTTCTTCTTCCGGATATATCTTCAGAGCTCATCCCCTCATTTCATTGAGGTGTCTGCTCAGACTTCATATTATCAGACAAGATTTACCTGACTACAAAAACTAACCCTTCTGTGGCTGTATTTTTATAGCACTTACTACTCAGTCTTCTTTCTGTATTGAATATATGCTTCGCGAGGGAAGGTGTTTCGGTTTTTTTCAGTCTTGGATCCCCCAGCGCCTAGAATAGTGCCTGATACAAAGAAGGCTCTCTGTGCATTCGTGCAATGAATGAATGAATAGTGAATATAAATATCTTATTAAAATTTATCTGTATTTATTTTTGTCTTTCAGGTTGGGAAGGTCCACCTCCACCTAGAGGCTGTGAAGTTTTTGTAGGAAAAATACCTCGTGATATGTATGAAGATGAGTTAGTCCCTGTATTTGAAAGAGCTGGGAAGATATATGAATTTCGACTTATGATGGAATTTAGTGGTGAAAATCGAGGTTACGCTTTTGTGATGTACACTACAAAAGAAGAAGCCCAGTTAGCCATCAGAATTCTTAATAATTATGAGATTCGACCAGGGAAGTTTATTGGTGTATGTGTAAGCTTGGATAATTGCAGATTATTTATTGGAGCTATTCCCAAGGAAAAGAAGAAAGAAGAAATTTTGGATGAAATGAAGAAAGTTACAGAAGGAGTTGTAGATGTCATTGTTTATCCAAGTGCGACTGATAAGACTAAAAATCGTGGTTTTGCATTTGTTGAGTATGAATCTCACAGAGCTGCTGCTATGGCCCGGAGAAAACTAATTCCAGGTAAGCCTATCTTTTTAAAGGTTATTTTTCCATATTCCCTCTATTGTAAATATTAAAAATGACAGTACCTTATAGATCAATATTATGAAAATACATAATGCCTTTAGAGGAATAAGGATTAAGTTAGTAAGTAAATGAAGAAGTTGTTTATATGAAATAATTATTTATAATTTACTGATTAATGGATGATATATTTATAAGTTAATTGTTGCTTATTAAAAATTCAAAAGACAATGTCTAATTCTTCTAATGATCTTTCTTTGAAGTATATTTGTTTGTTTAGTCTTAAAATTAATTTCACCATAAGTTCTGATTAGGTTTGCCCTAGTAAATTTTCATGTGAGTGGGAAACTATAATACTTAACCAAATATATTGATATGTATTTGAGTTTCCGCTTCTTTGGAGAAACAGATTTACTTAACAGTATTTGACTTGTGTTTTAATTGTCTTCAGATTAACTTATTCTTTTTTGTAGGAACATTCCAACTATGGGGCCATACCATTCAAGTAGATTGGGCTGACCCAGAGAAAGAGGTTGATGAGGAAACCATGCAGAGAGTTAAAGTTCTCTATGTTAGAAATTTAATGATCTCAACTGCAGAGGAAACAATTAAAGCAGAATTCAATAAATTCAAACCTGGTGCAGTTGAAAGAGTAAAGAAACTTAGAGATTACGCTTTTGTTCATTTTTTCAACCGAGAAGATGCAGTGGCTGCTATGTCTGTTATGAATGGGAAGTGCATTGATGGAGCAAGTATTGAGGTAACACTGGCAAAACCAGTAAATAAAGAAAATACTTGGAGACAGCATCTTAATGGTCAGATTAGCCCCAATTCTGAAAACTTGATTGTGTTTGCTAACAAAGAAGAGAACCATCCAAAAACTCTAGGCAAGCCACCAGCTCTTCCAGCTCGTCTCAATGGTCAGCATAGCCCAGGCCCCTCTGAAATTGATAGATGCACTTACCCATTTTTTCCTGGAACAAAGCTTACTCCAATTAGTATGTATTCTTTAAAATCAAATCATTTCAATTCTGCAGTAATGCATTTGGATTATTACTGCAACAAAAATAATTGGGCACCACCAGAATATTATTTATATTCAACAACAAGTCAAGATGGCAAAGTACTCTTGGTATATAAAATCGTTATTCCTGCTATTGCAAATGGATCCCAGAGTTACTTCATGCCAGACAAACTCTGTACTACGTTAGAAGATGCAAAGGAACTGGCAGCCCAGTTTACATTACTTCATTTGGGTAAGTTTAAAAATACTTTAAATAATATTGTAGAATATGGAATATTATAGATTATTTATAAATTATTTTGAATTCAACATTAGGGGTGAGTATTTAACATAAATTTTACCTCAGTTTTATGAATTTGTGGTAAATTTCATTGAGACTTTCCTCCTATAGAGACTTCTATGTTTAGCTTATTTATTTTTTAAAATATGTTTTTATTGATTTTAGAGAGAGAGGAAGTGAGAGGGAGAGAGAGAAACATTGGTGTGAGAGAGAAACATCCATTGGTTGTCTTCTGCACACCCCTTACCGAGAATCAAGCCAGCAACCCTGGCATGTGCCCTGACCTGGAATGGAAATGAAGACCAGTTGGTGCATGGGAGGATGCTCAACCAACTGAGTGAGCCACACCAGCCAGGGCTATTTAGTTTTTTAAAACATTACGTATTTACTTTAGAGTTTATGATTCTGTTTCATTAGTTTGTTTTGCAATGACTGATCCTAATTTGAAATAATTTCTATATAAGTTACAGGGTTTGTTACTTAAACCACTTTCTTTGGTAAAGCCTACCCAGTAATCTTTTTTGAGGGTAGGGGTAGGAAGTTGGTAAAATCAGGCATTTCAGATGGGTCATTTGTAGACACAGCCTTATGCTCACCAATCTGGAAATTACTCATGAAAGACAAAAAGCATTAAAAGATGTTTATGACCATTAATTTCAGGCTTTGAAAAAAGTAACTTTCTCTAAAACATTTGAGGGATAGTTAAGAAAGGCTTTGGATCCTTTTGTAGTTCATAAGCGTGATGATTGGGTGTTCACACTCTTATGTGGGATGTGCCTCCCACAAACCTTGTTACATCTTCAGCACACTTTCCCTCTGACATAAAAAAAAGAAAGACTTTGGGCCATATGCTAACTAAACATTGTGAAGGAAGAGGTGTAATACTGCTCTGGTATTTTCCTACTTTCTGTTTTTTGGTGTTTTGTTAGCTACCCCCTTCCCACCAGTTTGTCTCATTTTTTAAATTGCAGCTATATATTTCAGTTGGTGATGACTTTGTGCCCCAAATAATATTTATTAGAAGAATAGTAGTTTCTTGAAAATCAACTATAAAAAGGAAAGATTACAAACTAAGGATTATAATTGTGTTTTTTTATTGCAGTAGTCAAACTCGCTAAGCTTAAAATTGATTTGTTATATGATTGCAGAATTGTACTACTGACGCTTATATCCATTTAAAATTGATATTCTTAAAATTGTTAAGATAATAAAAGAAAAACATTACCAAAAGAGAAAGTAATTTTTACATGTTATTTAGATTTGCTTATCCATTATAGCCACTCCCATGGTATTATGAATATTTTTAGGAGATTCTGATTTGGAGATCTGGTCATAACTTTAGGACTGAAGGTAGAGTTCCCTTCAAAGAAACTTTTCAGTACTGTCCTTAGTTATTATTTTGGAAATATTTGGTAATTTTAGTCATTTAAGTTAATAAATTATTAGGTATGGTTTCCATCAAAGTACATAATAGAAACCTTCCATTTTTCTTTTAATAAAGACAAAGTTAAATATAAAATTAGGTGGGTAGCAAATAATTCAAATTAGGGTTTTTAGAGAAAAATGGATCAAATTATTCTTTTGGAGTAAATATAGATAATTAGTTGCTGAGCAAGATTTTCCCAGGATACTTGTATCTGATCCAACATGGTAATGCTGAAATATAATTTATTTCTATCCTCACTTATTTCCCTTACAAATTTAACTTAAATATGATTCTTAAAACATAGTCTTCTTAGTTTATTTTATGTTAGATTTTTCTGTTTAGACATGGTTTCTCCATCTGGTTCTCCCATAAAGAAGATCAGATGTTAAATGAAACCGGAGGTTTTTCATCAGCTTTTAATTTAATATTAAAATGATTTTTTTTTACTTGAGTACTAGGGCCATAGTTAACTTGTTATAGCTTTTAGTTCCCGAAGAAAACCCCTGTTCAGGTACAGTATTCCTTGCTTGATTATGTTAATCAGGAATAAAATAAACTTCAATAAATTAAATCCTTAAGAGGGCACAGGCAGTTTGCTTTATAGCCATCTATTTCAGATTTTATCACCTTCATATTAAAGCTTCTTACAATAAAAACTGGAACAATTTGTGTTTTATATATTTTTTCAGTTTCTATTCACCATCAGAAAAAAGAGCTAAGCCAAATATAAGCCAAAATTTTCAATTAAACTCTACGGGCTTGCTTGGATGCAGTATACAAGGCCTGAGGCCTTGTCTACAGACAGTAACAGAAAAATCCTTATTGTAATTGTCTAGAAATATGAGTGAAGGTTGAGTTAGAGGCAACTTAGGAGAAGGAGAGAGGGAATTCAGGATGTGGAAGAGTCAGAAATCAGGGGTCTAGGAATTTATGATCGAAAAACAAATGTCAGCCTTTCAGTTGTCATTTAAGTCATGTCAGGTGCTGTAGACAGCCAGGAGATTATGTGATGCCACATGGCAGGTTAAGGATAGAGTTAATGTCATTGTGGTGATGATCTGATGTGATTTTACCTTCTATTAATTGAGTGTCTGGACTTTTAAAAAATTGATGTGTTTTTACATGAAGTTTCCTTTAGATAAAGTTTGCAGGGTTTAATTGGATGGTTCAGGGTTGAGATCATGGTGGTAGTGTTGTGTTCTTAGAGGGGAAAGGGTGTTGTGTTTGTTACTGCTATCCTGCTAAATATTTACATGTTTCAAGCCTTAGATTTTTCTAAGATCTTGAGAGGTTATTGATTTGTTGTGGAGTCCCTCAAACAGAGTTCGTCAAGTATTAAATAACCTTTGGCTCTATTTTATTAAATAATTTGAATATAATTTTCTAATTAGTGAATTTAACTATTATTTTAAGACTAGAGGCCTGGTGCACAAATTTGTGCATGGGTGGGGTCCAGCCGGCCACCCCAGTGGGGCGGGGGAGGGTGGTCAGGGGGAGGAGCCATGGGCGGTTGGCAGGCCAGCCCCACCCCCTGGTTGAACTCCGGTCAAACTCCTGGTCGAGGGGACAATTTGCATATTAGCCTTTTATTATATAGGATGATCTCTTTGAGTGTAGTAATTACTTTAATATACTTCTATTAATTCTTTCAACTTGATATTTTTTCTAGTTTGATGCTATTTTGAACATTATTATTTAATCTTACCTTGATCTTTGTTAATTTAGTTTTTTATTTCAGAGCTCTTTAAGACTATACTTCTTTTTTTTTTTTTTTTAAATATATTTTATTGATTTTTTACAGAGAGGAAGGGAGAGAGATAGAGAGTTAGAAACATCGATGGGAGAGAAACATGAAAATAGAAGTTTTTTAAAGGGGCACTAGGCATCTAAATGAGTACTAGAAATCTGAGAGTTTACTTTTAGTGACCATTTAGTGCTTTTACCAGAATCCCAGAAACACTTGTTATATAGTCCCTTAACATTAATTTTTAAAATATTTTGGGGTTTTTTTTGTTCCCATTTAAAGTGAGCTCTATTTTAAGCAAAATGCCCTTAAATAGGAGGAAAGCTGGAATTAATGCCAAAATTGAACCCTCATTTTTCTTTTACTTCAAAGTTAGAGACTGTCTTCATCCTCATAATGTCAGAGAATAACCTCCCTAACCTCAATCCATAGGATAAGAAGTTGTGTTACCTGGTTATATTTAGGAACTTGTAATAAGTGGGATACTCATTGAATTTAATGGGTGGAATACAGAGTTGGGGCACAGGAGATAGATAGCTCTATACCAAATATTTGATGTATGGAGACTTCTTAGGTCATTTAATATCATCTTTTTAAATAAGACTTCTGTTTCAAAATACTGTATCTTTAATAATAGATCAGACTATGAGTGTGAATAATTCTGCTATTCTTAAAATTTTGCCTCTGTTTTGAATTGGGGCCTTCCATTATTGCCACTACTTTCTCCTGGAGGATTATTCATCATCTAGGACTGGAATAAGCAAAATCAAGGAGGTAAAGAAAAGCTCTGGAGAGTTATAATTTTGAAGAAGAAAGTCTTGGAGAATACTTACTGGAAGGAGGGAGGTCACCTCAGTGTGTATTGATAATTCACCTTGAGAGATATTTATTAACATCTCATTCAGGCAAGGCATTTATTTTCTTGTTTCTATGTTTGTAATGCTGATGAAGAGGTTTTTTTTGTTGTTGTTGTTTTGTTTTTTTACTTGGATGACCACCTAAAGTTTTAAGACAGGGATGAAGAGCCTCTTGTTACAAACCAGCTTATGCCATTGATTTAATTTAATCTGAGTATTCTATTGCTTTGGCCATGACTGATGAAGTTTAATTAAAGAACAAATCTTTTTTGAATGCCTTTCCTGTGCTAAGTGTACTTCTTAAGCAATCTGTAGCTAAAGATAAATAAAACATTGTTTTTGCTCTTACGGAGTCACAGTCTACTGAAGAAGGCAAGCATAGGGTATCTTGGGAGTACAAAGAAAGGGCACACCTCACACCTGATCTGTGTTGTAAATGGTAAGAAGAGTTTATGGTCAGAGGGGGACACCACATAAGCGAACATTTAGAAAAACAGCATGGTGGTGGGTTAATGGCAGAGTTCTATATAATGTTTGTTTTGGTAATTTTAGTTAGATTTTAATAATTGGAAATTGAAAGTAAGTAGACTTTAGTTAATTAAAATTTCAGCAGTTCTGCTTTTTAAAACTTTGCAAGTACTGTATTTTTTTTATTACAACTATGTTGATATTACTTGCTTTTCCTCTGAGCAAGTACTTTTTTTTCTAGATTAATCTATTCTGGTTTGTGTGGACCATTTTATGTGTGAATATTCATCTTTTTAATATTTTCCTGTATTTTTTCAATATTCATTTTATGGCTGACGTGCATATTGCTTCTCATATTTGACCTTGTAATTACATACATTATTAGAATCTTTACTTTTTTCTGGACAGTGAGTGGTAAAGTATTTACCAAGTATGATAATCACTATTTGTTCTATTTTTTAATATTTAAATTCGATTTTGATTTCTGTTATCACTTATAACTTGGTTGAAAGTTACAAAATAGAAGACAGCAGAATGAAGGAATCATATTCTGAGAAGTTTTAATGTGAAAAATAAGGTGCTTTTTTCTTATGAGCTGTCATTATTTCCAGATTGATGGGCAGAAATACAAAAAATCAAATTTTGATTTTAGAAATTTGCCAATAAATTGCTTTGAAACAAAGAGAAACTTTCAGTGTTTGGTTTTTTTTTAAATTTAAGAAATAAATTTAGGAGACTCTTAAGCTAGGTACCATATATGGTACTGTATTATAATGAAAAAATTAATTACAAATTATTAGAAGAAAAATGATAGTTTTAGAAAGTTATTCTTTCCTTTCCAGTTTTAATTATAGATTTGACTATCATGATAGTATTTCAGACTGATATATTAAAGAACAAAATTTGCTAAGTCTGCTTTAAAATTCACTTAGATAAATAAAAAGTAGCATCAGCATCAACATTTTATACTTTAGTTTTCATATGATCAAGTGGTGAGACGAAATTTCCATTAACTCAACTATGTGTCTTTGACCCTCCATGAGGGCCCAATATTTGTGAAAATATACTTCTATTCCTCTTGAAATTTAAATATTTTTTCTAACAGGCCATCATGTGGTATTCCTTATAATTTTTATCCTACTAACACTTGTATTAACAGACCATAGTTACTATGGAACTAGAGGCCCGATGCACAAAATTTGTGCAAGAGTAGGCCTTCCTTCCCTGGGCTTCCCTCTGGCCTCGGCTTTATCCAGCAGGATGTCTGGAATGATGTCCGGTCTAATTAGCATATTACCCTTTTATTATTACAGATTAGTACTGTGAG